TGAGGTCTAGCAAGGTAATTTTTCACTTACCTCATATACAAATTTCTTGAAAAAATGAGGATTTGATGTATGTCTAGAGGGGCGTCTTCGCTCCCATCTCCAAATACGCCCAGGATTTGCATAGCAAAAAGGATCCGCGTTATGCGATGCGCCAACCGCTCGTATGGTCAATAGTTGTGTTGATGTCTAGTATCGCATATACTGTGTTCGACATAGCGGCGTAAGGCTTGAATTGTTACACTGTCCTAGATTTTTTATTCCTTACGCTTCCTGTACGCATTGGGGCTAATGATATTTTGTGTCACGTAAACGTTACATCAATCAAATTTCGTTGCTTTGTCTTATTAGCTCATTAGTGATGTTATCATTAATCAATGCGTAAGGTTGAAAGATGGAAGATGAAGAAACTACAAACGACCTTAGAAAACGGTTTCCGCGGAATGTTTGATATAAATCCAGAAGCTGACAATTTCTAACACCCATGTTTCTTGTGTACTAAAATTTAGTTATCACAGGCTGACAAAAGTGAGCCCCTCTTACAAAAAAAAAACAGGGTATACTTTCTAGAAGGCTTTTGATGCACTGAATCCGAATGCGTATCCAAATCTTCCAACTCACTCTAGTTACATTAATCCTAAAGTGCAATAGTAGCAATTTTTGCCTATATTTGAGGCTATGTAGCATTGCGAATTATTTTATTTTTCAACAAACCATAGACATCTTCTTAAAGTACAAGCTTTGCCATTTCAAATACCATTGGGTCTGCATAAATGAAAAATGACACTATTAAATTTTCATTCCTCCGAATGTTACTATATTTGATACTCTCCACGTTATAAGTTTGGTGAACACGTAATCATAACGTGTAGAGTCAAATATAGTGGAATTCAGAATGAGAATTTTAATGTGCCATGTGACATGCGATCCGATTTTTTGGAAAAAAGGTATTCGTCATGCTACAAACTGCAAATATAGGCAAAAATCGGCCTATGTGATATTTAAGAAATCGAATTTTATATCAAAACGTAAATACAGGGGCACCTGGATGTTGAGAAAATCATGTTGGTCACGTTTTTGCACCAAGTGCCATCCTACTCATGGCCTGTTTCATTCCAATATTATCTTCTCATTTTACCTTCATAATTTTCAATAATGGTGAATGTGTATATTATGTGACACATTCACCATTTTTGTAGCTTCGGCTTGTTTTCGTCAAAAATTCGTACTGTCCATTAGTATTTTTACATGGCGTCGGGAGAGTAACGAGTGTAATTTCGTATAGTAAGAACCGTTTTGCAGTTTAGTATTCTTGACCGATGAAATTAATGCAAGTTATACAGTATTGGGATTCTGTCAATTTAAAACATTTTTCAAAAATACTACGTTTCGGCAGCCTTACCCCCAAAACGTTTTGATACCAGCATAAAAAAATTTACACCAAATTTATAATAAAAAACAATGCACTGACAAATAGAACAAAAATTTACATCATTGCCTTATGCCGCAGTCTGTCAGAAAATATGAAGTATGTCGTTAGAGTTCATGTAGCACATAAAGCTGATGCAACAACTAAAAAAATATTTTCAAATCCCCAATCGACAGAGGTCTGCGAAGCAACTTAATTTACAAAATAACAAGGATTGTACACGGCTCTAGCAAAGCATGCAATTGACAATCGGCATGAATTTGATTTCACAAATGTAAAAGTTCTAGATAAAGAAACATCCTTGATATGATAAATATAAGGAAAGACACTAACAGTATTAATTATAGAACTGATACAAATAATTGATCAAGTAGTATCAATAAAAATAATGTAGCTGAATGTAGCATTCTCTCACTCATGTCACATATTTAATGTAAAAAGGTAACATTCTTGTATATATTTCTTAGTATTCAATTCTTTTTATTTTTATTAGCAAATATTCGCTAGGCGTTGGCCCACACTCAAATGGCCAACATCTATCTGGCAGGCATGTAATTATTTTTAACAACTAGTAAGTCTTTCTGAATTTTAATTTTACGTTTTTCAATTTTCTTCTTTTTTTAGCGTGTCTTGTGTTGTATTTCTTGACGCTTTTTCAGTTGTAGAAGCTCACATATACCAGAAGATGAAATTTCAGGTCGTCGAAACGTTGTTTTTTCAATAAACATTTGTCTTCGTTGAGGTTCAAGTATAAAAAACGAGCTCCGAATCCCAAAAATCTATAATTATATAACTTAAATTGAGGGCCGTTTATAATGGACTCAGAGATACTTTAAGAACATGTGTTATATGTAGTACAAACTCAAATACGAACATATTTTCATTTTTCAGCATGGTCACCATAAAAATTTCAGCATTGGTCAAGTCGTGGTATCAGCTTTTGGATACAGTTTTTAAATAATAACTGCTACTGTCAACACGCCATTTTCCAAGTGCCTTTCGCCGAGAAATTCCTTCAGATTTGCAAAAAGATGACATTCAGAACCGTATGGTGGATGATTTTCTGCATTTGAAAACCGAGTTACTGAGTGCACCTCACAATCGGGCTCACTGATTGACGGGCGACAAATAAAGCAGTATAATTGCACAACCAAAACCGACATAGACGCAAAACGTAATGGCGGCATAGTGAAGGACTGGCCAAGAGTGTCTGAGGTTGAACGGACGACACGTGCAGGTTACGCGGCACGATGCGTAATCAGTTCTTACTTTGAAAAAGGCCCTCGTAGCTCTATAGTTCATTTTCAGAACCCTTTGATCAGCATCAAAATTATCTCCATTTTTTGTGAGTTTCATATTGACGTAAACATCCTAAAACATCAACTTAAACCTCCTACTTGATGTTTTGTAGTCACAGTCCATGAAATAACTAAACTGTATCTGATCTGATAAACTGTATCCACAAAGTCATAATAAACTTGTCACAGGTTTAATCTAAGTCGGTTTAATCTGTGCTCCTAAACTAGTTATCACGTAATACATACCGTCATTATTATCAGATCCAATTTGAATGTGCTATACCAAGAATCTTTGGGATCACGCTCTGCATCTAAAGCTTTGTATCCTGTACCAGGTGTGTTACTATAGAATGGATGCAGTTTGAAGATATGTTCGATTAGGTTTCTTATTTGGAGTACACTTTAGTCCACTAAGAATTTTAAACTAAGATGTCGTTGTCTTGCTGATTATCGGATAGACCAGAGTTCCCCAAACTTTTTTGTGTCGTAGACCCCTTGCCATGTTTTTCCGTGTTGGGTAGACAACCTACTTACCTGATATTGATTTCCTGTAAATTTCTAACTGTAGTGAAGTTAAGTGTTAAAAACTTAAAGTAAAAACACATGTTAATTTATACATTTATTAATTGAATTTAAATTAAAACTACTCAAAATAAAATTGTGTATCTGTTATGTAAAATATACGTAACATTAAACAAACAGGTGTCTGACCAATAAGTGCCCGCATTGGGAATAAGTGCCCGCATTGAAAAAAAAATAAGAGGGATAAAATAAAAAAAAGTGAAAAATAATAAAAAAAAAGTTTTTTACTTAAAATAGTACAATAAGCGAGTCCGTTTATTAATTATAACATAAACGTATGTTCTACAATAATTTCACTGTTAGTTTGATCAAATTCCGCTTCTTATACGTTTAAGTTATCTAAAAATAGGCAAAAAATTTACGAATTTTAGTGTGTACCTATCCTTGAATTTTCCGAATATTTAAAAAAAAATATTTTCTATAAAGGGGGGTTCTTTAAAAAAATCAATGCGGGCACTTATTCCCAATGCGGGCATTTATTGGTCAGACACCAATAAACATGAAATAAACTATAAATAAAATAACATAAGCAATAAGTCAATATTTTTAGTGAGAAGGATGAACCTGATGCTTTAATAATAAATTATCAACATTTGGCGTCAATTTTGTAAGGGTTAATCTTAAATCTCCTCGGCTAATGATGTCCAGTCTGTTTCTTTTTTTCGTTAGGAGATTGGTAACAACGCTGAACCCCCTTTCCACTAGGTATGACGATGGAAAGGAAATTAAAAATTTCCTCGCTATATTCCATAATACGGGATAAGTAACGGGTATGTTGTTTTGCAGCCAGAATTGCTGATATCCATTTTTAAACTGTCGTTTGTACGTAGTTCAGTCAGTTCCTCTTGTATTATGACATTCGTTTCTTCTATGTCACCATATGGATTAATTTTATCCACGGTGGTATTACCATAGTCAAAATATCCTCAAACCTAGATTCAAAATCTGAATAGAGGGCATTTAAATGTTGAACGTAAGTTGAAAGGTCGTCTTCCTGGCAGCTTGTCTGTGACAAATTGGGAAATTGAGAAAATTCGCCCCGTCCAATATTTTGCATCATTAGTTTAACTCTGGCAAGAAACGCTGATAAGATGGGCTTTGTTTTAATCAAATTTAAACTGTCGCCTTGTAATTGCAAATTAACCATATTAAATTTTGTAAACAAATCTGTTAAATAGACGATGTCTGTTTTCCTCTTCATTAAATTTTCTTTTAAAATTTTATCTGTAGTATCCAGAAATTCTAAAATAGTCTCAAAAAGTTCAAAAAATCTTGTCAAACATAAGCCTTTCGACAGCCAGCGTACTTCAGTGTGAAGGAATAATTGATAAAAGTGTTCGTCATTTTCTTCACACAACTGCGCAAATAACCGCGTATTCAACGCGTTGCTTCGGATTCGGTTTACTGCATCAATGACTAAATGAAGTGATTCATGCAATCTAACACTCAAATTTTTGGCAACTAAATGTTGTCGATGGATGACGCAATGTATTGCTCTAACACCCCTGACACATTTTGTTTTAAATAGCTTATAAATCCACGATAACGTCCAACCATGGCAGGTGCTCCATCTGTAGCTACTGATATTATATTTGATAAAGGAATTGCTTTTTCAATGAAGTAATCCTTCAAAACATGAAATATTGATTCACCTTTAGTGTCGGTTATCAAAGTTCTTGCGAAGAGCAGTTCTTCGTAGATTTCTTGATTCATAATAAAACGAACATATGCCAATAATAATGCTGCATTATCAGGTAAAGTTGACTCGTCCAGTTGTATAGAGAAATGGGTCGTTTGCAAATAATTACATAAGAAGCTTTCAATATCAGAACTCATTTCATCAATACGTCTTTCAACAGTCCTGTTGCTTAAGGGAATTCTTTTAGTGATATCAGATGCAGGTTTGTGTAAAACAGTTTTTAAAACGTCTTCAACGGCTGGCAAAATTAACTTATCTCCGATAGTATGCGGTTTTCCGGATTTTGCTATAAGTAACGAGATATATTGTAAGACGCCCGCAAACCATCATCATTTCTTTGTGACGTCGAAGCGAACATTCTGTCCAGTGTAGGTCTCTTCTGAAATTTATCTTTGAGTGTTTGAAAGTATTTCAAATCTTTCTCTGTTTTATCAGGGTGGCATCTTCTCAGATGATCTTGCAGTTTAGATGGTTTCATAGCCTCATTGCCCAAAACTTTGTTGCATAAAAGGCACATAGGCGATTGTTTGTCCGGCAATGATGGAATGAAGCCAAATTTCAAATAATCAACACTGTACTGTCTACATTTCTTTTTAGATTCGGACATGGCATCAGTCATCTGTGGGCAAAATTAAATTATTGAAATAAGACAGAAAATCCAGCAGCTGTATATTAAAAATATTTTTTGATTTTTCCGAAAACATTCCATAATTCGAACATCTTCTTGCAACAATTAGCTCGAATTACGGAGATTGCACTTTAATTATATTACCGAGTGCTAAAACTTTCAAAAAGAAACTATTGAGGAGTACTCGTGTAATTTTCCATGATTGAATATTTAACTACTAATAACTAAAGTCATGACTGCCGTAATTTATCTATCTTTGCTAACTACGACTACAAAACTAAAATTTAATAGAAAATAATGTACTTACTTTTCTCAAACAAAATAACACTGACTCACTATAATTTGTCTGATATACTATCTGTTTATATTTTTTTAAATGTTTTCTTAGCACTTTCCTTTTCAAGATTCAGGAAACGAATAAACGTATTTGTCCCACATTCGTATTTATAGAGTGACGAATTGAACAAGTCAGTGCAAGGTAGAGAAGCTCTGAGACAGCGACTCTCAGGTTTTTACAAATTCAAAATGTATTGCGACCACAAAGCGAATACCAACATCCTACAACTTACACAATTTTATAAACATATATAATAAATTTTTTACTTCATAGGTACTTTTATAAATAATGTATATGTTTTGATATTATAAGATAGTATGATGTAAGTAAATAGTGTATTGAGATCCACTATCGTGGACCCCCATATTCATTTCATGGACCCCCAAATTTCTTTTCGCTGACGTAGACCCCTTGCAGGTTGTCATAGACCCCTAGGGGTCGATATAGACCACTTTGGGAATCAATGGGATAGACGATATACTAACGTGGAGGTGTCTAACTTTTTCGTCTACCGCCATGCATACTGCTCAGCATGATTAAGAGCGGATTTCACCAATATTAATATTTGACGGCCACCTGAACCATTTGGGAAAGACCTCATCGAAATGCAATTTGACGGAATCGAAGCTCTGTGAATATAGGTAATTTGTAAATTTATGAGAAATAACAAAATACATGAAAGTTGACCTGTTTTCTCTGTAGAAAAGCATGATGCTGGAATCGAAATGGGCTCTTGTTTGTAATACAATCGCTTTTTCACGCTTTTATTCAATATTTCAAAGAGCTTTGACAGCTTTCGTCAAATTGCATTTCGATAAGGTCTTTTCCCATTGGCACAAATGACCGTCAAATATTAATGTTGGTGAAATACACTCATAGTCAACTATTGTCTGATTCTCAAACCATTTGATTTGTCAGCAACGAGTGCATTTCCAAGCATTAATTCCATTTGCACAGACATTCTTTTGCTGTTCTTTAGAATTATAGAAAAGTGTATGAAATTATTTTTTTTTTAGTTTACTGTTAGCTCTATGGGGTATTCCCAAAAGGCAATTATTTTTTTTCTTTGAGCCACGTTCAAGGCTTTGTCTTTTGTGACTTTATTTATTCATCCAGCTTCAAGTTATACAGAGGTCATTGACAAGTCGTGACAAAAAATAAAACATCATACACAGGATCGCATTTTAAGGGGGGGGTCTTCTATATAACATTTTCCCCTCGAGGGCTTCATTAACAAGATGTGGGGTGTTGAAGTTTAAAAATAAAAAGCAAAATAAAACCGTCAACTGGAATTAACTAAATTTTGGTATGTGGATTTAACTAAGTAGTTTCCACATTCAAAAGTCTTTACATAAAATTAACTTCGATCAGTGGCGGAGATACAGGGGATTCGTGGCATTATTTTTCCAAATAAGAATAGTACGCCACTGTTTTTTTCGAAACGTGCAATTTTTCAAATTCAACCTTCAATTTGCCACAAATATTTACTCGCGTGCTTTTTTCCTAGAGTACAATGTTGTCTTAAAAATAAAGAATACAAAGATAATCAAAGCTTTATTTCAATAAATGTTCAAAAAGTCCACCATTCTGATGGATGCAAGTGTGGCATATTTTTAATAAAGAAAGACGTATTTCCGCAAAATTTGTTGTGGGTGGAATTTTAATGAAACGCATTATCTATAATAATAATAATAATAATAATAATAAAATGTCTTTATTAGGCACATTATAAAAACTACAATATAACGTGACCTCTACGTAGGCGAAGTCTAGCTCTTGCCTACTCTACTTAACCTACCCAAATAATAAATTGAAACATTACCTAACTAAACGAAAATTTGACTCAAAACAAACGAACTTGATAGATGGCTGACATACATACACATATACAAATATACACATATATATTACGTATATGAAAAATAAAATAAAATATAAGATATGTTGGTAATTGAAAACTAACTTTTCCACAATTACTACAATGACAAATAAAACTGTGCCACATGCTTATGAAATCTGTTTACTGGCCAATCCTTTATATTATCATCTAAATCGTTATAAATCATGATAGCATTGTAAGTGTATGAACTACGAAACAAAGTTGTTTTATGCATAGGGATCTGTAGTCTTTTTTTTGTGTCTGAAATCAATGTCAGAATTACTTCGTCTGAAAATAAATTTCTCATAAAGATACAAGGGGGAGCGAGAAGATATGATCTTATGTGTAAGCACTGCTATATGGTACTTACCTGAATTTTCTATACACATCCAACCAAGCTGAAATCTCTTTACTACGGAAACATGATCATATTTCTTGAGATTAAACACAAATCGACAACAGGTATTGGAGTCTTGTTTTTGTGAGAGAATCAAGACAATGATAGAACACAGTGCTACTGTAAAATAAGCTAGGAAATATAATACTTTTTTCTAACTTTAAAATTCAATATAGAGCGATTGACATAAAAACACTTCAAAGTTGCATAACATTTTTTTAAGATAGATGAAACATAATCTTTAAACCGTAAAGTATAATCTATAATCAACCCTAAATTTTTTGTAGTATTTACGAGAATTCAATAAAGTGTTACGTTTGACAGCAGGACAAAAAAGCATCACTGAGCACTTATCCTTATTGAGCTTAAGATTGTTACCATTTGAGTATCCTACTATTGCCTCCAAATCATCAAGCTCATTGATTGAAGTATGTATAGTGTTACCATTAAAGCTCTTATATATCTGTGTATCATCGGCATAGCACATCATAGAAGAGTTTTTCACAGAGCTACCCAAATCTATAGTATAAATTAAGTAAAACAGAGGCCCTAAAACTGAACCCTGAGGGCCACCTGACGTTATATCAATCGGACTGGATATAGTATTGTCTATCTCTACTACTTGCTTACGATTTGAGAGATATGTCATAAAAAACATTAGAGGTATGTCTGAAAAACCAAAAAACTTCAATTTAGCACATAAAAGCTCATGATCTATTTTATCGAACACCTTAGAATAATCTAATGATACAAGTGCTGACGCATCTCCCTTATCAAGCGAAGAAAAGATGTCATCTAAAACCTTTGCTAAAGCTGTAGTTGTACTAAAACCTCATACCAAATTTTAGTTCATCTCGGTTTTTAAGATATTAGAAAAAATTGTTTTTTATTTTTAAATTTCAACACCGCGTATCTTTTTAATGAAGCCTTCGAGGAAGAAATGTTACTTAGAATACCTCTTTAAAATGCGGTCCTATGTATGATGTTTCATGTTCGGTCCCGGCTTGTGAATCACCCTGGATATTTTGTTTACAGTGTGTGATACCTTTTATATGAAGATGAATAAGCAATTCTTATGTGTGTTCTGCCCTTATTTGCCTTTCAAGAGGCTGTCAATCTATACAAACGGCTGCCGGAGAGTAGTAAAGTCAACACTGCATCAGGAGAATTGATTTATCGCGTGTATCCTCATTGACCTCGACTTGTTAACAAAACAGTTCCACCAGGAACCCATAGATTATACATGGCCGGCGTTAGGCGTTAATTACATTTATATTGTTTGCCCATGCGATGGCATGCCGAGATCGAGGCTCGTCTGTTGATCATTTTCAATGGACTTGGCAGGCCATTGAATGTTTGTACAGCCGAATGGTCTAGATAATACGGAACACATAAATAGTGGACAGGCAGTGAGATATGTGGGTGATCTATCAAAGCAAAGTGAGTGTTTTTGGACAGTATAAGTTCCGGCACTTTGATAGGGTACCATATTTGGATACGAAATACATCATATAATTTGCCTTTTTTTAAAATTAAGCTGAAAGCGGCATTAAGGGCCAATTTGACCAACATTAATATTATGGACAAATGGGAAAATACCTATCGAAAAGCAATTTGACGGAAGCTGTCAAAGGTCTCTGAATATTAGTGATTTCTATTGAAATATTGAATAAAATCGTGAAAATTCGACTGTATTATAAACAAGACCACTTTTTGATTCCAACATGATGCTTTTGTATAGAAAAAACAGGACAAATTTAATGTATTTTGATATGTGTTATAGGTTTACATTTAACAATCCGTTATCCCCCTCAGCGAATGGGAATGCGGCAAATAATAGGTCGATTTTCTAGCTGTTAAATTTGGCAGCAGATTTGGACGTTTGTTAATGCATGGCACTCTTGAATTTACCAACTTCAATATACTGAAAGTTATCATTACATACCTGTTGAATAGTGTGGATTTGACTGTATTTTGCAAGAAAATAGAATATAAAATACATTCCATCCAATTCCTCATCTTCCTTTACGTCATAATAGTAATCATTTATAAATTTATGGGATAATGAATTTCTTCAAAGCAATAAAAATATTATGTCCTCTCCATCCTAAACCACAGATAATATGTGTAA